TAAAAGTAATAATGAAATTTCCAAAATTTTGAATATTCCAAGAAGAACAGTTGATTATAACATTAAAAAATTCATAACTCAAGGAAATATCAAAAACAAAAAAATTTCAGGAAGGCCTAGGAAAACTACGAGCGCTACTGATAAGCACATTTGTAGTACAAGTACACATAATCCAAGACTCACGGCACCCGAACTTGCTGTTGAAACTCAAAAAGCGTATGATGTTCAACTTAGTGTTACTACAATAAAGAGACGACTTCATGAAGATGGACTATACGGTCGAACAGCAATTAAAAAGCATTTACTAAAACCGATTAATAAAAAGAAACGATTGGCTTAGGCCAGAAAACATAAAATTTGGACCATTGATGATTGGAAAAAAGTTTTGTGGTCTAATGAGAGCAAATTCGAGGTTTTTGGTAATAAACGCAGATGTTTTGAACGGAGAAAAAATAAACAAAAACATTTAGAGAAAAATATGTGTGCTTCGGTTAACCATGGTGGTGGCTTAGTAATGGTATGGGGTTGCTTTGGTGGTTCTAAGGTTGGTGACCTTCTTAAAATTGATGGCAAGTTGAAAAAAGAAGGTTACAAAAAAATTCTTGAAAAAAATGTTGTATCTTCCGGAACAAGAATAATTGGTAACAAATTTACGTTCCAACAAGATAACGACCCAAAGCATACTTCAAAGTTATGTAAAAGTTATCTTGCTCAATTGGAGAAGAAAAAAAAATTAGTTGTGATGGAATGGCCACCGTACTCTCCTGATCTTAACCCTATCGAACTGTTGTGGGATGATATAGATAGAGCTGTAAGGAAGGTAGGTCCTACTTCCCAGAAGGATCTTTGGAATATCTTAGAAATTGAGTGGAAAAAAATAAGTGCAGAAACTTTAGAGAAACTTGTAGCACGAATGCCTCGAATTTGTAAAGTAGTTGTAGCAAACGAAGGTGGACATTTCGATGAAAAAAACGTTTAAATAATTAGTATTGTTTCGTTTTTGTTTACAACTGAAATTTATATTCAGATTGTAATAATATATTAATTACAAGCGTTATTAGTATTATAAAAAATGAAATTATTATTGTTATGTTATTATTGAAACGTTGTAATAAATAAATTTTGTAGAAAAATTGTAACCAAATTATGTTAATCTATTCTGAGTAAGTAATAAATTATGGTTCAATAAATGTATCTTGTTATCATTGTTTGTAAGCCCATTCAGTTATAAATACTAGTTACTTACTAATTTTATTAAATATATGTAATTTCAGTTTTTTTTCTAGAAAAATTTCAATTCTAAAAAACGTGAAAAAAAAAATTTTTTAAATTCTGAGTGGCGCATTTGATAGCTTTTGCAAGATACTACATTTTTTCTTCTAAGAGTTTTTTCTTTAGAGTTGAAAATAAAAAAAATACAGCCCATTTTTTGAAAATCTTTGTTTTTGTATAAAACACCATATAGCTCATAAAAACTAAAGGTAAAAAAATTTTGCGGATATGGATTTTGTAGCTTTTTGAAAGCTCTATCGAATTGCTTATACAGTTTTTCCATCGTAGAATCCGTTATATAAATAAATTGGGGTCGAAATTGATGTGAAAAAATTAAAAAAAACAATTTGTTTATGACGTCACAAGTTGTACAAAAAACAAATAAAATCAATCATATTTTACAACATTTAAAAGGTCTTGGCAAGACCTTTCAAATGAGACCCCGCAGGATTTTCTAGCTCTTATAGAAACTGAGCCATAAAACTCTAAAGTTTTGATGATTTCAGCAAGGGGATGGCAAATCTTTATGGACGGTAGTGTATGTTAAGGTGAGAGAATTGGATACTTAGTGCAGTTGGCGGAAAGCATTGTTGATCTGGATAGGAGAGAATAAAAAAGGAAATGGTCAACTATAGATATGATAGATGCGAAAAAAGAAAAAGAGTGTGATCTTCTTTCTGATCACTTCATTTTGCGGCCAAGGATTACAAATATTTTTATCTTAGTCCGTCGCAAGTTTCGATGTTTGGCGCGTGAAAGGGCTGCGATATGCTCTTGCAGACGTCCGCTAGTAATGGATCGGTTTACGTTTAACCTAATACTCACAGGTTAATTTCGCCTTTCACGTAGCAAGTTGATATCGTCTGTCTTTGCTGTTTGTCTTTATGGGAAAACTTTTGTTAAGTTTTCTTACAAAATCAGTGACTAAACACATGCATTAGCAGTTTCTAAGTCTCGAATTTGTTTGTCATTGCTTGTAAATGCTTAGCAACGAAAATTAACTCTCCAAAAGCACGAGGAGAAGAGAAAAATTTTTGTCTAGACATAATTTCAAACGTCATTATTTTCACTCCAGAAACTTTTTTGACCTTATTTAAACATTCCCTTATTTAAATATTCTCTTAACACCTTATTCAAATATTCTCACTTTATTAAAAATTTTCATATTAAAAAGTTCTCATCTTATTTAAACCGCTCAATCTTGCCGAAGTAATTTTCACTCATTCTATCGTCTGTGATATTTATTAATTAATTTTTAGCAATTTGAGTTTTATATTTTAGATTACACATTGGTCAATTTTCAATCTATTGCACATAAAACATAGTGATTTACTTTATACAATAATATGAGTTGTTTTCCAGTCGTATATTTTAATCGGTTTCTTTCAATAAACAGGTAAATTTTTCTGAATGATAAATTTTGTAATGATGGAAAAAAGGGATATAGTGAAAGATAGAAATTCACTTAATTTTAATGATATTCAGTAACGTTTCATCAACACATTTGCTGACCTCTTTAGGCTTTATTAATAGAAAAAGAACAAATTATTAACAATAGAGTTGCAAAAGTAATGTTCATGGTATATAATTATATGTATATGTGTATACCTGATTTCTCTCTTAGTCAAATTATTATAGGCTAAAACGAATAGCTCGTAGCACAGTCAAGTTATAATAAAGTGAGAGATCAAGTATTTCAACCCATATATATACTCTTCATTCATTATCCCTTCCTCATCGATCTTAATAAAGGCTTATAAATGTGACAAAGATATTGTATTTCAAACGATCACGTTTTAATATCATTGGATGTAAGTTACTTATTCACAAACATATCGTGTGATTTAGTCTTAGAGAGATTGGACAAACGTTATGAACAAATTAAAAATTGTGAGTTTCCAATAGAAGAGATTCGGAAAGGTATAAAATTTTTATATAATAACACATATTTTGTGTTCAACAAAATTTATTATAAACAAATATTTGGAAGCCCAATGGGCTCACCTATCTCTACTCTACTAGCTGATATTGTGATGGAAGACTTATTGTTAGAGAAACATTGCCTGAGCGTGTTGCGGAATGAATATCAATTTAATCCTATTTTCTATTACAGATATGTTGATGATACTTTGATGTGCGTTCCGAAAGATAAAATTGATTTAGTTATCGAGACGTTCAATTCTTACCATAATAGACTACAATTTACGTTTAAAATTGAAATGAATAATTTTATTTCATTTATTGACTTAAAATTGATCAGAAATAATAATAAATTAGAAGTTTACTGGTTTAGGAAAACAACACAAACTAACAGAATTTTGAATTTTAACTCAGAACATTCAATTCATCAAAAGGTTAATATAGTTTCAAATTTAGTTGACCGAGTGTTTTTACGTGCTGACAAAAAATTTCATTCCAGCAATTTAAATATAATTACTAATATTCTGAAAAAGAATAATTATCCATCTTTATTTATCAAAAAACATATACAAAAATGGATCAATAAATACAAAAAAGGGAATAATAATTCTAAAAAATTAGAAAATCAAAAATTACCCACAGTCGCTATTCCTAATAATTGCAATATCTTCAAAAAATGTTCATCTGTGTTAAAAAAATATAACATTATGCCTATCCCTTTATTACAAAAACCATTACAAGAGTTTATCCGTTTAGGAAAAGACAAATCTGATTTATTAGACAACACTGGTATTGTCTACAGTTTTAACTGCAAACGATGTTCAGCGGTCTATATAGGTCAAAGTAAGCGTTCCTTAAAAATTAGATTAAACGAATACAAAAAAAAAACATTGATTCAGATACAGTAGTAGCTGCACATAGAAGAACGTCCTCACACGAATTTAACTGGAAAAAAGCTAAGATATTGGATTATGAAAAGATATTGGATTATGAATTATAAGAAACGCAGAATATCCAAAATGTTACACATTGGCTTACATAAAAACACGTTAAATAGAAAAGAGGATATACAATATCTTAGTCACATTTATAAGCCTTTATTAAGATCAATGAGAAAGGGATAATAAATGAAGAGTATATATATAGTTTGAAATACTTGATCTCTCACTTTATTGTAACTTGACTGTCTTACGATCTATTCGTTTTAGCCTATAATAATTTGTTTAAGAGAGAAATCAGGTATACACATATACATATAATTATATACCAATAAAATTACTTTTGCGACTCTATTGTTAATAATTTGTTGTTTTTCTATTAATAAAGCCTGAAGAGGTCAACAAATGTGCTGACGAAACGTTGCTGAATATAATTAAAATTAAGTGAATTTCCATCTCTCACTATTTCCCTTTTTTCCATCATTACAAAATTTATCATTTAAAAAAATTATAAGGGAATCAACACAGTATGTTGCATTTAGGTAAATTTTTCAATAATCAAATCGATAGCGTAGGTATGGAGCGACTGCTACTAAACGAGGTTACCTATATAATTATTGATAAAGGACTCTACGATTAATGTACAACATTAGTACACTACTGTAACACCGACAATCATTAGTTTATCGCCTCGCTTTCTTTAATTTAGAAAGTACTCACAGGATTTGCAAATGGAAGTATCATGTTAATTCAATATCATACGCTAATAATAATTTGAAAAAATATCAAAGTATTCCATTCGTTTCAGTAATCTAATTATACAATTTGGTTTTAAATAATAAAATCTATAGATCTATACGAATTTTACAGATACTGGTAAAAAAGAATGGACCGGTGTTATCGGAGAAATAGTTCAAGAGCGAGCAGATATGATAGTCGCTCCATTAACAATTAATCCTGAACGAGCGGAATTTATAGAATTCAGTAAACCATTCAAATATCAAGGTATCACCATTTTGGAAAAAAAGGTATAAATATATTCATAGCGTTATCAATGAAAGGTTTTTCTCTTTATAACTCGTAATAGAATTTGACACAGAAGCGGAAAAGAAATAAATTTTTAGAGATAAGGTATAAACTATTTATTACACGATAAAGTACTAAGAGAGCCATACTTTACTGTTTATTCCAATACATATTAACTGATGTTTAAGTTGGATGATTTTAAAGTTGCATAGTATATTGATGCACAGTCGACAGTAGAAGTCACGATAGACAGGGTAAGAAAATAAATATTGTACAATTTACCCTACGTATTTTGAAAATCGTTTGAATGACGGATCTTAGTACTCAGTCGCGATGAGCACAGTGGTGTATCTAATCTCTGTCTCTCCCAATCTCGCATATGACGCAAACTTGATCGAACCTGATTTTATCAAACATGTAATACAACTCTTTCCGGGGGTCGAGAAAATAACAAAGAAACAAATCCAGCAGCCTAGAAAAAATGGTCGTATCATAAGATACGAAAGGGCAGTAGTGCATAAATTTCATTAACAAAGTGGTTGACAGAAGCTACATTTGAAGAATGGCAAATTCTAAAGGGTTCAAGCGTTGATTTTCGACAGTAATTGCTTGTATCTTACACTATTATGAGACATTTTTATCCTTCCGAGTCTTGAAAAATCTTTTGTGGTTTATTTTATATAGGAGTCCTCATAGTAAGTAAACTATTGCTTCTGTTGTACACAGTTGAGATAATTCTTGGCGAACATTTATATTTTGTGTATATATTTCACTTTTTACTGTATTCGCTTGTTCATTTTGATTATGCTCTAGAACCTCTTATTTGTTCGTAGATTGTCTTAGCCAGTAATTCAATAATCAAGCTTTCTGTTTTTTGTTTTGAATTAAAATTTCTAGATTAATTCACTGTCTTTTAATACTTACCATTTTTCACTTTTCATTTTAGTTTTATGGAAACAAAGTGGATATATTGTCTCCTGACTAAGTGGTAATTTTGAACGTTTCATTGTTTTTATTATGATGTTATGGGATATATTTATTGTAACTTCGCACGATTCACTATTTTTTTAGCTTTTCGAGTTGAATGCTATGTAAATATGTCTAATCTTCTCGAAAATCAAACGATGATTCAATTTTAAAATTAAAATATGATATACTTAAAGAAGTGATTCCATATGTCATATATTCCAACTGAATATATGTGAAAACTAGTCAAAAATGGTCTAGCTGATCAAGAACGTCAAGCCTTTAGTGTTGAATCATATATAAAATGACGATATGATTATAGCAAATCAGGATTAAAATCTTATAGAAAAATAATAATTAAAGATGAAACATCTGCAGAATGCATTATTAAACTATTCAAGATATTACTAGCTTGCTTGGAAGAAATATATCGCAATGCTATAGCGAATGAATCTTTAATTGAATATAATACAGTATACATAACAAATGTTAACAATTTTCTCTCCATTCTGTCATTAAAATGTGAAAATAATATTTCTAAAATTTTTGGTCCATGTTATTCAAAAACTCGCCGCTTTAGGAACAAATAATTGCAGAAAAGTTTATTTGAAAGAAAACGCTACGTCTTATATAGGACATACGGAACTTTTAGAATCTTTTAATAACATTTTTTAAAATTTTAATAATTCTGTAGCAGTCACATAGTTCGACCATCCACATCTAGATGGTAGCGGCCAGCCACGAGCGGCAAGAAATACGTTCGCTGAATATATAAGTCCGCATAGCGGTACGAGCACTTCGAGCGTATGAGGCAGATGTTACCGACCGTCGAGCCTCACTGGCGAGTCCAGTCGGTAGCATCGGGACGAAACGCTTCTTCCTTACCAACCTCCCGAGTGTGAGCCTGGCTACCTCACACGTCGGGCAACTTTCACGGGTCTAATTCCCTTTTACACGAGACTCCTCGTACATATCTGCATCCATTTAGCATTAAAGCCAAAATTCAAACTTCTAAATTATGAAATTGAATACTAAGGAATACATTCTATTTTGATAAAACGAAATTGGCTGATGATTTTCTGCATTCATTGCGCAGAACACGACGGTGAGTTTCCTTCGATATAGCAGAGCCAGACACAGAACATCCTATCAATGAGAGAAAAATCTGAACTAGCTAAGATGGTTAACATTCAGGATATTTTACATTAAATTATCACACAAGGTTGACTGAAAAATACTCAAGTCCGTTTATGAAGCGGTAGAACTCGCTTCATTGAAGGCAGCAGAATAGGATGAATGAAGCCGCCTAGAACAAATTGGTCGATAGAATTATATTCGACCTACAACGTCGGCAAGATCGGAAGGAGCTACAAGATCAAGTTTTCCAATTATTCACCCCTTTCTGGAGGGGCTTGAAACTCAAACGGTTACAGCAGGTTTAGCGAAAGATGAGATACCGCTCGACCTACAAGATTCCCTAACAGGTTCAGCATAATCCTAGTATCTGAACGGCAGTAGAAACTGCGTCTATTGCGAGGACTTTCTGTAAAATGCTAGAAAATCATGCAGCACAAATATCCAATATCAAATAGCGGCTAGAGGATCAAATCAGGTAGCAGTACCTGTATGAACACGTTAAAACAAATTTAAGCAAACTACAGGCCATGGTCAACAAGCTCCATCCTCCAATGCCAACTTTAGAATTAATTAAATTGACTACGACAACCTACCAAATATCCATTGCTCTGATGGCATAGTTAGTAATGGGACGGGAACCGCACAAGGAAGCTGTTAGTCAAGATCTCAGCCATTGATCTCCTTCTTGAAATTCTTCACATCAGACTGCGTGGAAAGTCATGCTACATGCTGCCTTCGGCGCCAGCTGATGTTATCGAAGTGAGATCTGATGTAGGTCGTGTCTAAACATACGGAGTTACTGCAAATAATGTGAGGTTAGGCAGAAATGACAAAATTACGTGTCAACATACCGAAAAATCCACGACTTACAGGACTTCGGGATTGAATCAATGAGACAGTATATCAAAAGAGAAAGTCTATGAGCACTTATGTAAGAGTTTAGGCTTACGAAAGGGCCTTGCGAAAAGGGAAAGGAAATAAAGAAATGGCAATAACGAATATGATCCTGAGAACGAAATGTGTTGATGATTACCTATTCAAATAGGATATTTCCTAATACATGAACTTTACGATTCAGAACTGCTCAGCGCTACGATATGCAGCATATGGTAGGTGTATTAATCGCATTCGACCTAAACGGTACAATGCATGTACCGTTGCAACATTTAATTATTTAAAAATAACTATTTTCCCCTGCGCGCGTAGCTCATTCTGTATGTGTGTGCGTATGTGTGCGAAAATCTAATTGTAAGTCCTAACGGGCAGGTGTGAGGGCAGCACTTATTAGCGCTTCCTCCCACCATTTAATTTCCAACTTTTTCCAGCCAAGCTGGCAGTCGTCGATGACATCGTCTAGCGTACGGGATTCCCTCGCAAACTTCCGTACCCTACGTACGGCGTGTATACTTACACTTATCTATCGCATCTGATCGTTAAATCGATTGCTACCACCGAACGTGGTTATCAACCTCTCGTGTGTGTGAGTTTTTGGAGTGGTTACGCGCTTGAGCATGTGTCAGAAAGAATCATCGAAATCTTGTGGAAATCTTATCAAATAAAAACACGTGTATGCATGGTGTACTGTCATTGTGTCTCGGCGTGACGTCATTCGTGACTGCATTTTTTCAAATCATCTCTCTCTAGCATGTGTGTTCAATAAAAAGGTTTTTTATGGTTTTCGAGGCTTTTTCCCTGAAATCAATGTAAATTTATATACCTGATTCTAACAATTAATTTTATTAACAATACATATAACTTAACAGTAAAATTTCATAACAAAACATCTTACCCTTTACTCTCATCGGAATCACCAGCGCTATCCGCACGGTAATAATCCACAATTTGTAAATGAATACTACAGGGGGTAAACTTTACTAAAGTATTCAGAATCATAGCTTACTACGAAAAGCAGGAATTCTCCATAAACTAAGAAAAAATTATCACGACCATAGAAATGGCCAGTCTCCGACGATGACCAGAAATGGTTTTTATCGGGATTGCCTATACCACGGATGAACAACTAAGATAAGTCTGAGAACTATTAAGCAAACTGGTATTTGAGCTAGGGAAAATTGGCCAAGAGCATAGTCGGGGTCTAGCCATGAAATCAATATTGATGATACTTAATATATCAAGCAGAGATAATACCTAGTTTTCCCAAGTGTCGAGAACGAAATACATCGACTCACGAAGGAGATTCTCGCTGCCGGCATTGTAGAACCTGTAACGTGCGAGTTTCATGTGCGAGTGAAATTCGCGCGCTTCCCGCTTCGAGCGAGGGCGACTCTGGCTCGGAGGTAGGGAGAGTCTGAAACGATCGCGCAGCTTGCCAGAACGGTGAGAGAAAGTCGGTCGCCGCGGAGTGCTTGAAGCCAGCATCGTCAGCGGATACCGAGTAAGAGCGACGATCGGCACCGAAGGCGAGTGGTTGATGCATATCATCAACGTCCGAGAGTTTGGTTAATTCCGCGTCTCCGCGACGAGACGATCTGCGCCCGTGCGACAACCCATACAACAGTGTCCGGGAGCTGTATCAAGAATAATTATAATAAAGTTTAAATCTGAACGTTGCATCAAGATTTTGCATTGAATTTTCCTAGCCTGAGCGGGATTGCCGTTTAACGTACTCATGAGCCGGGCATTTCAAGATCGTTTGATCTTGAAAGGAATAATGTAAAGTTAAAAAATTTTACAATTGGCGCACCAACTAAGGATGATTAATTTTTATTGATTATTCGAATTTCACGCTCTATGAGTGCATCGAACGCTGTGTATGTAACTAAATCGGGCAGGAATTCAAGGCAAGTTAGGAGCAATCTGAATTTTTCGAGTAGGCCTGCTAAGAATAAAATAAATACTAAAAACACAATTATGGTTTTCAATCGAGACGATCAGCCCG